TTGTTTACTTTTGCACCTGAAAATTAGGCAAATAGTAAAATCGGCTAAAAACGGATAACTTTTTTTTACAAACCGGCTAACAAATCGGCTGCCGGCTAGATCGAATTTTCTCCGGCTAGTTGCTATCAAAACCGGCTAAATCTAGCCGGAAAACGGCTAAAATGGCAACGCTGGTAGTGAAGTTCATGTATCTATTTACTGTAGAAACTGCTTTTGTATGTATGCCATTGCCAGCAAACTAAACCAGCAACTGTCTACATTCACCATGGAAATATCCTGCTACAATTCACCAAGGAAAGGCCAACATAGTTCCATGTAGAAGCTCATAGCTCGCACACATAGCACAAAGCTCGATTTGGTGTTTAATGCATCTCCTCGCCGGCAGAACTGCTTCCACTTTTTCGCCAGGTTTGCGTCCGTAGGAAACGAAATAAAAACTTATATCGCACGCTTTCCTTTTGTTTTCACTATTACACTTTGCCACTGCACACTTCATTTTGCTTTGTAATGGCTCAATAATTATTTAAAACCACGCAGAAATATTAACGCACAAATATTAAAATTGTTATTTGGCTTATTGGTATGCTCACAATCAACAATTGCACTAAGATGACGTCACGCACGCAGCTGATTCTGTCAAAATCACAAAGAGCGGATTAGCGGTACCGCGACAGGCGCAATCTCTATTTCTCTCAATCGAAGTACGTACATATACAAAGCGAGAGCATGCGGCAGCTGTGCTAGTCACTAAACTAAATTCCCGTAGTAGATTTGTGTTTTTTATTATCGCATTCATGCGAATTAAAAAATGTCCGAATTTTCCAAGTATAAGTAATTAAGAAAATTTCACTAATTATCCCTTTAACTGGAAGAAGCGTCATGAACTCTCTCTTGAAACCTTAGCTGAGTTGCATGAAATAGGAGATCATTTTAAGAATAATTGGTTACGTACTACATATGCCAGTATGTAGAGCAAAATTAAAATTAAAGAGTAAAATCAAATATATAAATAAAATAAAGTTTAAAAAAATAAAATAAAAAATAATAGTTTTTTGGAAATCACTCCAACTGAGGATCGAACCTGGCACCTACAGACTTGTAGCACGCAACTCTCACTACTCGGCTACCGCGGACGCGAAACTCGCTTGCTTTGTTTGGTTACTTACAAAAGACAACAGCTGACCGTTTCCACCAGTGCTGTCCTCGAAAATTCGGCTGCTTATGCGCATTTAAAAGAGGAAAATGCATGAGTTAATGCAAATAAAGGCTGATTATGCATATAAGTGAGCCCGTTTATAACCCGTATTAATCAACCATGATGGGAGTAAAACCGGATAGCTGAGTCTACTTAAATTTTCTTTCAAAAATAAAGTTGACCTATTGCGGTATCTAAACCTAAAAAAAACACGAAGTCGTTTTTTCTCCCGTTTTAAAACTAACTACGTAAGGTTATTAAAAAAAATGCTAAATTTTCGTCTTACCTATTTGTGTATATACATCTATGTAAATATGAGTATTTAAACGAATAATGTATAAAAGGTTTACTGAGTTTCATATTCTACTACGTTTTACTCTGGTTTACTCCGATTTAAGCACGCCGGAGTTCTAACTCTGCTGAGCGGTGCTTTCAACGGTGGGGTGCAATAAGGCCATACGCAATAAAGCCATATTGGAAATAAAGCCATATTTTTTGGTAATAAGGCCATAAATTCGATATGGCTTTATTTCCAATTACAATTGGTAATTAAGCCATATGGCTTTATTTCGCTTTCAAATTTTTATATTTCTTTTATTTAAACAATGGAAAAAGTTCGCAACAAAACTACTAAACCGCCTTGAACTACAACGTCACCTTAAACATGCAATTACTCTCCTTCGCGTCCCGCTCCCCCACGCCGCCGCGCGTGAACGGCGGAGCGCGGCGCGGGGGTCAGACGTTGACAATTTCTGCTGGAAATCCCTATTCTAGGAGCTTAATCTTTGACTCTAAATAGCAAAGAAGGGAGACGTAGGGGGACAGTTTTACCACAGAGGCTTTTAGCCAAGGAGCCAATGTACATATTTCCCTATGAAAAAAATATTGCCCTACAAGTAAACAAAATTGTCTACTGTCATGCTGAAATAAGTAAGCGAAGGAAATCGTCGAAAACTATACAGTGCTGCCAAACTTTCGATTTAATACACTAGTCGAGTGGAATTTTTAGGCAATGACGTGAAATTTTCGTTACGATTCGACTCTCGAATAAAATAATAGAAAAAAAAAATTTTTAAAACAAGCTTTTATTAAATATGTACAATCAAAAGAAAATAAAGTAGTGTAACGAAAAATTTTTTAGGAAGAAAATTTTGTAAAAACTGCACTAAAATTAATAAAATAAAATAAGTTAAGCTTTCGTTAAAGTTACTAAGAGCCAAATAGTGAAAGGAGCTACTCAAACTCTAATGAAAATTACTAACAATTTGTACTGATTTACTTCGTTTTTAAAAAATGTTGTCACGCGAAAAGCGAACCCGCATTTACATATCTGCATACGTACATATACATACCTAACCAACAATGCATGTACGCTGAATTCGCCCACAAGTTTTTTTAAAAACGAAGTAAATTAGTACAAATGGTTAGTAATTTTCGTTAGAGTTTGAGTAACTCCTTTTACTATTCGGGTTTTAGTAACTTTAACGAGATCTTAACTTATTTAATTTTATTGATTTTAGTGCAGTTTTTACAAGATTTTCTTGCTATAAAATCTTTTCTTCACTACTTTATTTTATTCTTTTGATTGTACATGTTAAATAAAAGCTTGTTTAAAAAAATAAATTTTTTTACATTATTTTATTTTGAACTTTTTAGTTTTCTTTTATATAGTCAGGACATAATATTTTTATTAAAGGATGACTCTCCATATATGAGCATAGTACATTTAATATAAGCTGCGTAAATCTTTGCGATCATCTGTCTACGTTGAGCAAAACACGTTGAGTTCAGGTAGCGATAAAATTGTACAATGGAAAAAATGGCGGAACTACTCAACTGTGATCCCTGCTTAAGATGACAACAGACATAGGAAACTGCGAAAACGTTAAAATTTAAAGCTAACATAAGTGCATAGTATACATTTTGGTTTTATGTTTGTTCTGTATGTGGAGATTTTTGCAAATTATTTGGAAATTTATACATACTTAAATATGAAAAGCATACCTGCTTTCGAACGAACTAGTATTTATATGTAGTATTGCAAGAATATATAGCATTCTGTGGAAACATATGTATGTAAGTTAACTACATACATACATAACGTAGATTTTTTTTGCAAAACCGCCCATCGGCCAGTTGTAAAACCGCTTAAATCGTCATTGTGACAAAAATGAGATTTGGTAACCTTTAACTCCAGGCAACCAGTATTTTTTCCATAGGAATCGTAAAATCGTTATTAAAACAATAGATTTGTAAAATATTGGCTAGAGAAAATACCGTCTATCTAGGCAATGTCTTCAAAGAAAAACCGTTTTTCGATCTCCTGTAAAATCTGAGTGCCGTAAGATACATAGGCGGTTTAGCAATTGGCCGATGGGCGGTTTTACAAAAACATCGACGATATGTATATCCGTACATATGTTCATATGTGCGCTCTTAAGATGATTGCACAGGAAATTAAAATTTTTGTAACCTTGCTAGAGCACTTTTACAGATTTATGTCTTTAACACGAGATTATTTGATTAACTAATTTTTACGTAGAACGCTGAAATTGAATCGCAAACGCACTACAGAGGGTTTCACGCTGTCAAACGACAACAATTGACTAACAGCCCAGTTAGGCATACTTACCGTTGCATGAGAGTTGTCACATAAGAATCTGTTAAATGGGATTTGCGTGTAAGCGGTTACCCAACGCATAGCACTTAACATGTAGAATTCTGTTGAGTTTTTATTTTTGCGTAAAAATGGTATAGCAGTGCAAGTATGCATAACTGGGCTATAAGGGCCGTTGTTCAATATCTGGTTATCACTACTTGCCGGTTAAACATTATTATCGACGTTTTCGACATCGTGCATATAACATGTGATCGATAAAGCAGTCGGTTTTAACCAGAGCTTCTACCTCTGATTAGTGCTAATCAAACATTGAACAACCGGGCCGTTCAATATCCGGTTAACACAAACCGGTAGAAAAATGTCGATAATGACGTTTAACTGGGAGGTAGTGATAACTAGACATTGAAAAAACGGCCCCAAGGGTTGTTTATGCCATCTCTGGCTAACACTAACCTCCAGTTAAACATCATTACCGAAGTCACCTACTCTCTGTTATATGCATAGCAGTAGCGCTCTATGAGCAAACAGCTCTTATAAAGATTTTATCTTGTTGGTTTAAATAGAAAACTTCTTTAAATGTAAATTCTATCTTAAACTGAAGCATTTTCACCTAAGCTAAGCCTTTTGACCACTTCGGTATCTGTGTTAATTATAGACAATTATTTTCCGTTTACCTATAACATCCCATGGCACACGACTATGTAGCATTATCCACATCGCTTTAACAGTATTCAAAAGAAGCACATCGTACTAACTGAAATTTTTTCGCCTGCGGTATATTAGAAGTATATACTTTGTAGATGCATGCATGTGCATTTTGCGTGCCTTTTAACGTATCACTGTATTTCACTAACTCCCTGTGTGAGGAAACCAAATAATGTAATTCTTAACAGAAGTGCCTGAAATTTAACAGTTTGGCCAGTTAAACACAGCTGAAGCTAATTTCCGGTATATCTTTTACTAGCGCCTGAAACTATACTTATTATTTAACAAATTCATAGCGTTTTTACGTTCTTTGGCAAATTACGCTCTGTTAGCTATAAATTTTACTGTGTTTTGACCGCCTTTGTATCAAGACCCCTGGACCATCTAGGGAATTAATTTATATTTTATATTGCATTGTCATCGTGATTGAAACTGAAAATGCTGAAAATTTCAAGTCTGTAGCTTGTCGGAAAGTTAGTTTAAAATCGATAGGAAATTTCCGCGGGATGACCAAGTTAAATAAAAGCTTGTTAAAACGACTTGTATTCGACACGTTCTCTCGCAATGAGGGTGAATATGTTTAAATAAATTTTTATCAAAGTTCATAAATATGACATGTGACCAATTTTGTTACACAAATACTCCCACGACCACAGGCATAAAATATTGGGTATAATTTGCCATTTTGTTTGCAAATATACGTTTTATCGATGCACTTGCACAACATTCGCATTTTCAAAAGCTCCTCATTGATTATTGCGAATGCGAATATTCCTAGCAACCCTGGTCCGAAGTAGCCGTGGTGTGGAATACCTACCGTTTAGCAAAAAAAAAAGAAGGTGAGTCTATAGAACCAGAAGATATTAATATTTAAAAAATCAAAAAAATTTACTTTACCATTAATATCTTCTTTACTTTTTACTTCCGCCCACACAAATACACACGCGAGTAGACGCATTCTTAAGTAGCTGTACTATTATCCATATTTTCTTCGATCCACCGTGTGCTTTAATTGGTTAAATTGATACAATAGTGTCTGTGAGTGGTTAAACTATCCGAGTGTGCCGATATCATAGCAACTTTAAGTCACCTGCGAACGTAGTTGCGGATTTAAAATCTTAAAAACTTGGTGCATTCTAGATTGTTTAATTTTGCTTTGTTGTTGCATGTCAAAAATTTCAACAAGAAAAACTACACGTAAGTCTTCCCCTTCACCTAAGACTCCTTCAGTGCTGCAGAGAAGCCTCAGAGCGCTGAGAGTACCAATCTACCTCTTAATGTATGGTTCGAAAAATTAGATGCTCACCTCGAATCTCATAAGCAAAGTATAGTCGAACGGCTAATAATACGTATGAGGCAATCTGAAGAGCGTGTCTTGGAGAGGATTGGTGAGATAACAACGGAAATTGCAAATTTAAAAGATCGCTTAAAGACGTTAATGAGCGTATGAAAAAAAACGAGATGGAGTGTGAAAAGCTTCGCAATGACGTACATGCTTTGACTGAACAAATGAGCGAGCATGAGAATAACCTCATATCTTCGGATGTCATCATCAGTGGCCTGCCAACAACAAAAGAAGAGAACATAACGAACAGCTTCTATCAGCTTTGTCAAATGCTTGCAGTAAATTGCGCCCGGTACGTTCTGCCTTATTATAATGGAAGCCTGGGTTATAATGGAAGTAACGGAACGGAGTGAACTGTCACTTAATTATCTATTGTATGTGTAATGCATGCAAATAGATATAATGAACGCGGCGGAACGGTATGCATCGCAAAGATCTGTCGATTTTAGATTCTTCCGCCTTCTTACGACAATTTGACAGTTGTTTGTTGACAAAAACGATAGGCGCCTAAATTAAATTGAATTTACGAACTTAAAAAAACTAAGAAAAATGACCGATTTTGATGAGTTATTGATTGATGCGGTACGTCGCCGTGATTTTTTATATGACAAAGCCATGAAAGGCTTCAGGCTGCCTAAGTTGAAGACAGCGGGATGGCGTGAAATAGCTAACGAAGTTGGAGGCACTGGTAAGTACATATGTATGTCTACTATGAATGTATAGAAAAATTAATTAACAATTTTCATACTATTTTAGAACAGGAATGCATGCGTAGTTGGGCAAGCCTACGAGACAGGTTTGGAAAGGAGTTGCGGCGCTTAGAAGCACCGTCTGGCAGCGGGGCCCCCAAAATAGAGCCGTGGCCTCTCATAGACAGTATGATGTTTCTGAGAGAACACGTTAAACCTCGAAGGCATATATTTTGGTTTAAAAAAGTATTCTAAAAATAACTAACTTTTGAAAACGTTTTCAGAACTCGGACTAGTAGTAACATACTTGAATTTTGCAATGACGATGATGGGAAAGATATGTCCACAGATACTGTGGATACCACTCCCGCAAAACACTCTAAAAGGCAAAATAAGGCCACTGATGCTCAAGAGCATTTAAAAGAAGCTGTCGGCGTAATGAAAGAGTTAGTGGCAAGCCGCAAACCCTCAGGAGAGGCAGACGACGATGAAGACCTGCATCACATCCTTAAAGCGGTGGAAGCCAAAGTGAAGCGAATACCGATAAAGGCCGTAAAAAAGAAGGCGGTATATGATGTTCTAAATTACTGCAATGCCATGGAGACTATGTGGAGGGCATAGCACCCAATCCTCCTCACTTTAATTAGGACGCAAGACTGTCGAAGTCTATTTTCACTGGCAATCAAAAGTGAGTGCATGGTGTTTTTTGTTTAATACTTGCAATGTTTTTAAAGTGAATTTTTTGTTGTTGTTTTTTTATAACAATATGGTTCATGCTTTAATTAAAACCACATAAGTTAAACTATCAAACTTTATACAGAACTTAGAAAAATTCAACGAATTTTCGTCAAGATTTTGACCTTTTTAATTTGAGTACGGAGATCGGTTTTTTAATTCTAGTGAAACAAGATCAAGTTTTAAGCGGCTAAAAAATCACGTTGATTTTTAATGAATTTTTTTCCGACGGATTTTGCGGTTTAATGCATATAACAAGTGCAATTTGTAATATATAGCGTTATTTTTTTAATTTTGTTTGTAAACGGTCATGCGTATATTATTCTACACGAAATTCCCTTTTATATGGTAAAAACCGCAAAATCCGTCGGAAAAAAAATTCATTAAAAAACAACGTGATTTTTTAGCCGCTTAAAACTTGATCTTGTTTCACTAGAATTAAAAACCGACATATCTGCGTACTCAGAATTTTTCTAAAAATTTAAATTAAAAAGGTCAAAATGAAAAAAATTGCAAATATTAAACAAAACACACCATGCACTCACTTTTGATTGCCAGTGTATGTATGTTTTGTGTATAATTTTAGTTATGGTTATATTTTTTTAATTAATCGCTATGAAGTGCAATGAAAAACTATTTTTTTTTGTATTTAATTGTTGTTTTTGTTAAGTGAATTAAAATGTGAAAGGCATTTAATGCAATGAAAGTCGGAACACTTGTGTTTTTTAAAAGCTTTATTACTGCTAAGTTAAGCGGGTGGAATACGTGTATAAAAAAAAATTTTTCATACCTTTAAAAAGCTTTTTTGAGCTAGTTTTTCAGGAAAAAAAGGTCGAAAAAGGTATTTACAGCGTCAGACAAAAAATAGGGTCGCGACATTTTAACAAGTTTTTGCTATTTATTTTGCCTACTATTTTTTTATACAAGTGTAGCTCATTATCTAACAAAAACAATGTAAGTCCAAATTTCAAACTTTGTTAAAAAATTTGGAAAATTCGATAAAGCTTCATTAAAAATTGAAAGCTTTAAAATATGAATTTTTAGAAAAAAATTTGGTATGCAGTTTTATAGTCCATACAATTTTAGTGTAAGAAAGTACAAGTTTCAAGTTACTGCGAAATCCGGTTAATTTTTGTTATTTTTTTTGCTGACAGTGTTATGCATTTCCTTCCATACAAAGCGCTTATGTAGTAGTTCTTTTCGAAAATTTATCAAAAATCAACGGGGTTTAGTAATAAATTGAAACTTGTACTTTCTTACACTAAATTTTTGAGGACTATAAAAGCCTATTTTTTGTCTGACACGTATACACAGTGTTGCCAACTTTTTATTTTCAGAAAGCACCAAAAACTTGGAAAAAGGCGTTTTACCAAACTAAAAGCACCAAATTTTTTTTAATCAAAGGATGCTTTTTTCGTTACAGTTTGCATTTAACAAATGCAAAAAAATTAACAATATTACAAGAATACATACATAAATCAATACAAAAAACGTTTTCGCTCATAACGATTGAATAGCCTCTACACATGCCATGATGCCTCATGCTTACGACGTAATACCGAAGTACTATTAAAACTAGTATATCTCGAGAACAAAAATCGAATCGCAACAATTTGATGTTTTCATTATATACAGCCGGGCTCCCGTTTCCGAATTCGCAAAAATTTAGCGTTTTAGTTTTCAAATCGCAAAATTACGTGCTCCAATTTTCGCAAATCGGAAAATTTTTGCGGTTTCAAATCGGTTGCCGATGAGACGGTGGAATGAAAAGTAAATGGCAAAATTAACATAAATGCCAAGCTAGCTTAGTTTAAATTTATTTTTGATTATGCCCATTATATCTTGCGATATTTTTGGCGTCCTAAAATTAACTTTTTATGTTGATTTTATTTGTTTAATTCACTATTTATTATACACATCTCCATTTTGGGCAACGAAAATTTATCGAAGCAACGAAGATTTACGATTTGGTGCGGACGATACATGTGCGATAATTGGTGCATACCTTCAAGGGATGGCTTTTAAGAATGCTGGAAACGATGTGGAAAATGGAACTTATCGATAACAAAATGTTGCGAACTCAAGGGCACCCAAAAATAAAAATGTACGATTTTTACGAAAACGCAAAAGTAAATGAAAATGGGAGCCCGGCTGATAACCACAAATATCGCAAAAAACCGTGTTTTTGGCAATCTGGGGGTAGGATATCTAGTACTAGAGCAATTGTGCGGCCAGATTTGGATTCAGCACCAAGAAAGGATGTGTTTTACTCAGGTGGTAAAAAAATCAAAATTTGTACAAACAATTAGAAAAGAAACAAATAAATACTTAACTTACCTGCGTAATAGCATTTTCAACGCGAATAGAATTCAACAAGGTGGGTTTGCAACTTCAGCTTTTTATCAATTATGGTTGTATTTTAGTGCATTTGAATTTGTATATTCTTGTAAATTCCGCATCTTCATGAGACACCACAGCTTATAATATTTCAAATTATTTCAGGTTTTAACCATCTTGGAGTAATTTTAATTAAAAAATGCACTAAAAAAGGCACTAGGCACTAAGTAATTTTTTTGGCGTTTTAATTTTCAAAAAGCACTAAATCTAATGCCTAAAGCACCAAGTTGGCAACTATGCGTATACATATATTTCAGATCAGTTTTCAAAGTTTTTAGAGTACAACTCCACAATAGGCGTTTGGCGCTTTTAAGGCTTTCAGCTACACAATTCAGCCATTGCTGAATGCCTGAAAAACTTGTTGTGGAGTTGTACTCTTCGGCACGGTGCCCACTGGAGCGATACGATAGGTGATGCGATAAGCGATACGATATGAAAGCGACATCGATATGCTGAGTACGTGGGAAATTGGTAGGAAGCGATGAAAACTGTCCACACTTGCACGACAGCGACACTGCGGCGACATATATCGCCTGCGTATTGCCCGAGCGACCCGGTTTTCTATCACACCGCATATGGTATCGCGTGTCGTATCGCTGTAATGTGCACTGGGCGCATGTCGATGTGGATTTCATATTATATCGCTTATCGTATCGCTCTAATGTGCACCGTGCGTTACTGTGCGCTTCCATACAAAAGTTCAACAATTTTATTTTGAAAGTCCACAGCACCTTCATTTTCGAAAAAGTCAGCAAGATCATTTCTCAGCTTAAAAGCTTCTTTGCTTGCATTGCGCATGAAAGACCGAGATGGCTTGGGTGCTGACCTTTCATCCTCTATATCCAAGCTCCAGTTTCCTTCACGGATTAGGTGATCCGTTGTTTCGTAATCGGCGTATCTTTCTGGACAATACCAGCGCTTCTGGTCATTTAACATGATAAAATTATGCAATGCTACCGCTGCTAGAACTATTTTTTCACAATTGTGGGGTTCAGCTCCAATAGTTTGGTTGAAGATCCTCCAGCGCGCCACTAAAATGCCGAATGCATTTTCAATCACTCGACGAGCACTGGATAAACGATAATTAAAAATCCGTCGCTGTCTGTTGAGTGCTTTTCCCGGATATGGCCGCATTAAGTTGGAACGTAAAGGGAAAGCTGCATCACCCGCAAAGAAATATGGAAGTGGTGATTTTCCTTCAACTAGTGGTATGCTTATTGGTAGAGGTAACTCATTGTTTAGGAGTGCTCGTCCAAAAGGTGTTGTTCGAAAAATACCTTAAGAAAATGTGTTGAAATTTATGTTTATGGACTTGTATACAATAAAAAAAATACCTCCATCACTATGCCCACCAAACCCTCCAACGCTGACTGATGTTAATGTGTATCTCCCATCACAAGTGGCCATTAGCACAATGCTGTGATATTTTTTGTAGTTGAAGAAACTTGATCCAGCATTACGTGGGCACTTTATTGCTATATGTTTTCCATCTATAACACTAACACAATTTGGAATATTTCATTTGGTGTAAAAGTTTTCAGCTATGTCCTTGTATTGGGATTCCGATGGTTCACTAACATAGAATGGGTGCAAAACTTTCCAAATAATTTCACAAGTCTCCAAGATGATGTTCCGAACAGTGGTCTTTCCTAGTTTGTAACTCCAAGCTAACGCCTGATGGGAGACTCCATGCGCCAAATACCTGTGCTCAAATAACATATAATATGAATTAACATACTTGTATGTTTAGGTAATTTATTCCTTTTTACAATAAAGTGATTGAAAGTCGCTCCTCGGGACATATTGCCTCTCGCACACACTCTTTTGTCAAGTCGTCTTGAATGAGTGATAAAAGCAGTTGAAAAATAGGAACCGTCATACGTGTAGCTTTGAAAAAGTGTTCTACACGTCCTTCCTTCATTGGAAGAAAGGTTTTCGTAAAAAAACCTGCACTTTTCCTAGCCCAATTATAATTATTATAATTTGCAAATACAATGTGCAAATATATACAAATATGAAACATATTAAAACATCTTATTCGGTACTCATTTCTTTAAAGAACGATGTATTTTCAGCGAAAAACTCTGTTTACTTTAGCTCTGCACAATTTGTTGGTTTCTGTTAGTAAATAAATACAAATTTTGACAGCTGTTGCCATTGGGCGCGTTTATAAGACGTAGCTGTTGCCTCACCGTTGGCTATTTGTCTTAGAAACGAACAGTTGAGTAGTTCCGCTCAGCTCAACAGTTGGCAACTGTCCGCTATTTTTTCCAGCGGAAAATTATTACGCTACCTGAACTCAACGTGTTGGGCTTAGCATAAACAGCTGATAGAAAATATTTACGCCGCTTATATTAAATTCAACGCCGCTTTGTCAGGAGGCAGTTGCAAACAAATTTATTATATTTTATATTACTGATGTGATTAAGTAACTAAAATATTTTATAATAATACCACGTTTCTAAATAAATTTTTTTAAGATGTTTGCAATATAATTATACACTGTTTAATTCATTATAACTTTGAACGATTTTTTCAACGCGGCGGCTGCTCAGCGTTGAATTCTAAGTACCATCGGCGCAAT